AAATGCAAATCATTGCAACCCTGCAATGTTATTGATGTCAAATTGAACTCAGAGCAAGAAGGGCTGAACTGAATTTTGTTCACAAACATTGAATGATGATTCATTTCAACACACTTGCCTAGTTCTCCAAATTCACTTTTCTTGTAAAATACTAGTGAATCTCCTGTGGTATTGTTCATTTGAGTTAATGGCATGTTTTCAGCTCTGTTTGTATAGTTTTGTCTTTTTGGTTTTGTTTCTGTAGTAATGTTCCCAAAAGTGTGAGTGGGGTAGGTACAGGATGCACTTTTGTTCCTGACTCTGCCACAGGTCACAGGGTAGGAGTAATAAAATAAGTGGACCTTTGGTGCTTAGGGATTGGATCTTGAGTGTCCTGCCCCCACTCCATTCCCTTGGGAATTACAGCAGCAATCCCATAGAATGATTGCATTGTTTTTACCCCAGTTTCTTTCAGAGGACACAGTGCATTTCTAGGGCATGTATGAATAATTGACAATACCAGAATTATTCACTGTTACTCACTAATCTCAATATATTGAGAATGGGACAAGAGTACTGGCTTGAAATTATAAATGTTAGAGATTTAGTTTTTTGTTGTGTTAAACATTGATTCCATTGCAGCCAAGGATAGGTGTGACAGTTCGCAATTAATATCTACAGATGAAAGCTGAAACATCCCAGTTTAGTTACTGAGCCTATTGCTATTAATTTTACTCTATCTCAGCACAAGATTCAGACACTGTTTGAAGTTAATTTTCCTGTCAAACTCACCAGCACTCAGTGTTTGAATAAATAAAGCACAGTGGACACAGGCTGAAGGAAACAAAAAGGGTTCATTATAATTCTTTTATTTCATTTAGTATATTAAGGAGCTATTGATAGAACTTATTTATTAAAGCTTTCCTGACATAGACAGTGTGCCAGGCAGTATTAAAATGCCATGCCATACATCTTTTGTGCTGAATACTTTCTGGCTTCTGAAAAATAGCAGTTTCTTTGCATTTATACCAGTCTGGTGGGAAGATCCTTTTTCACAGTCAAAGCTAAATCCAATGCCAAGGGAAGGCAATTATTACTCTGACTACGAACCAGGGTAAGATGTGCTGAGCTGAATGTATTTGGCTGAGTTTCAGAATCTCAGTGTTCACCTGGAGATTGAACCAGACCAAGTTAAATCAACTGGTGAGAAAGGGCGAGCTATGCCAGCAGTGCCAATATGAGAAGCAAAACAGCAAGATTTATTTGGGAGAATTTTCCTTCTGGTGTGAGATGGATGAATTATGTCCCTTCGTTTCAGTGGCAGAATCTTCACAAAGTAAACTCTAGAGATTGCAACAAAAGCCCATCACTTGAATAACACAGAAAACGATTTTGAGACAAACTCCAATACTGCAAGAAAGCAAACGGGAAAGACTCACATTTATCTCCTGTCATCTCCAGCACATCTCTATTAAGCAACTGAGCTCTTGTAGGCAGTAGGAATCTGTGATAGCATAGCTGGGGTTTCTCAAATATTCTACTCAGACTGATCTCATATTTTCAAAGACTAAATGTTTTATTTATTATGATCAAACACTTAGCAAAACAACATCTGGTGCCAGCACTGCTAAAGACAACTTGAATTCAAACAAGGAAATTAATTTTTTGAAAAAGATTTTCTAAATAAAGTTATGTAGGGAGTACCTCTAGTTGTGCATTTTTAAATATTAATTCTTGGGATGTGAGTACTTCTGGCAAGAGTGACATTTATTGCCCATTCTCAGTTGCCACAGGAAATTCTGGAGTCAAGTTTTCATCTATAACTGACTTTTTTTACTTACTCATGGGACGTGAGTGTCGCTGACTGGGCCAGCATTTATTGCTAGTTATGAGTTGCCCTTGAGAAGGTGGTGGTGAGCTGCCTTCTTGAACCACTGCAGTTCATTGGCTAAAATGTGGCCTGCTAGGTCACCAGACAGCATTTATGTATCAGAGATAGTAGGAACTGCAGATGCTGGAGAATCCGAGACAACAAGGTGCAGAGCTGGATGAACACAGCAGGCTAAGCAGCATCGTAGGAGCAGAAAGGCTGACGTTTCAGGCCTAGACCCTTCATCAGAAATGGGAGAGGGGAAGGGGGTTCTGAAATAAATAGGGAGAGAGGGGGAGGCGGATAGAAGATGGATAGAGGAGAAGATAGGTGGAGAGGAAACAGACAGGTCGAAGAGGTGGGGATGGAGCCATTAAAGGTGAGTGTAGGTGGGAAGTTAGGGAGGGGATAGGTCAGTCCAGGGAGGACGGACAGGTCAAGGGGGCGGGATGAGGTTAGTAGGTAGGAGATGGGGGTGCGGCTTGAGGTGGGAGGAGGGGATAGGTGGGAGGAAGGACAGGTTAGGGAGGCGGGGACGAGCTGGACTGGTTTTGGGATGTGGTAGAGGGAGGGGAGATTTTGAAGCTTGTGAAATCCACATTGATACCATTGGGCTGCAGGGTTCCCAAGCGGAATATGAGTTGCTGTTCCTGCAACCTTCGGGTGGCATCGTTGTGGCACTGCAGGAGGCCCAGGATGGACATGTCGTCTGAGGAATGGGAGAGGGAGTTGAAATGGTTCACGACAGGGAGGTGCAGTTGTTTATTGTGAACCGAGTGTAGGTGTTCTCCACCACTTTGGCAGGGACTCCTGTCTCACACAAAACAATGGTCATTCTATCTGTGGGGATAAATAGTTAAGCTGTGATGAGAATGATGAGCATGTTAACCATCCTTCATGAATCTCAATTACTAAGATCTGAAAAAATGATATTAAACATATGGAAATCTTAATTTTCAGTGCCAGAGAGGTTGTTTGGGAGTATGTAACCTAACAAGAATCTTTCTATTCTATCTAGAATCTTCTGATTTTAATTCAGTACTTCCCCTTTTTATTTAATCTGTCTCTCAGAATAGGCAATGTCCAAACTAAACAAGCTGACTCTAACCGCTAACGTGAGTACATTTTTTCCACCGCATTTCCTTCAAGCACTCTATGGTCCTGGATAATCTGGATCTATCTCATTTATTGTGAGAATAATACTTTCCATATTACAGCTTTTGATATGCCTTTCCTTTCTCTTAACCAAGGATTGTCCTCACCAACGCTGACAGGCCCCTTGATCATGTCCACTCCATTGCCTGCATTTCTAGGATCACTTCTTCTCCTTTAGCACAGAACCACATATTCCACCACACCAAACTTCACATTCAATGGATCATCCTCTGCCATTTTCAATGTGTATATTATGACATCAAGACCAAACATATCTTTTCATCCCCTTACTTTTCTGCGTTCCAAAGGCACCGTACCCTCCACATTAGCCTGATCCACTCCTTTCCCATCCCCAAAACAACCATCCATTTCCATCAGAGATAGTAGGAACTGCAGATGCTGGAGAAGGGTCTAGGCCCGAAACGTCAGCCTTTCTGCTCCTATGATGCTGCTTGGCCTGCTGTGTTCATCCAGCCCTGCACCTTGTTGTCATTCATTTCCATGATACCTTTCCAAGCAAGAGCTGAGAATGAAATATCTCCTTCCTTCATAGTATCACAAAATTACAGAACCCCCAAAGGACAGGATGAGGCCAATAGCACCTGCACTGGTTCTCCAAATAAGCATTATGACTTGATGCCATTCTCCTGCCCTTTCTCCATACCCTTACATATTGTTTTTATTTAGATGGTCACCCAATGTTCCCTTGAATGCCTCAGTTGAACTTGCCTTCACTTTTACAGGCAGTGCACTCCACACCCAAACCACTTATTGTGTGAGAAAGTACTTTTCTTACATTGCATTTATTTCTTTAAATCTATGTCCTCCCTTCTTGATCCTTTTATGAATGGAACAGTTTCTCCCTGTCAACTTTAACCAGCTCCCTCATGGTTTTGAAAACATCTGTCAGATCTCTTCTTAGTCTTCTTTGCTCCAGTCTCAACTCATGACTGAAGTTTCTCATTCCTGGAAACATTTGTGTAAATGGTTCTCATTCCCTCCCTATCCAGGACCCCAGCACTCTTTTCAAATGAAGTAGCCATTTATGTAGATTTCATTCACTTCAGTATTCAATGTTTGCAATACAGTCTCCCCTCCATTGGGAAGCCCAAATACAGATCGATGACTACTTCGCAGAAACCTCCATTCAATCTATAAGTGTGGTCTTAGCTTCCAGTCACCTGTTGTTTTAATTCCCTTGCCCATTCCAACCTCTTTGTACTCAGTTTCCTATAGTCTCCCAAAGAAACTCAATGGACTTCGTGGGAGAGAATGTCATCTTTTAACTGGTCACTTAACAGCTTTCCACACTAAACATTCAACAACTTCAGAGCATAACTTTTGTCCCCAGTGTTTCAGATGGCTGTAGTTGGTAATGATTCTGCTTTCTTCATTTATACCTGCTGTTGACCCAATGTTCATTTACTTGTTTTGTTACCATCTCCTTTTGACTTGCCCATCATCCTTTTGTCA